TGGAAACTGGTAGCCTCCTGCTGGGCCACCGTAGCTTGTATCAGTGCCCGCACTACGTCATCCATTGTGGTGGAAAAAAAGTAAATCCTCTCCCTTTTTTGTGTGTGTGTGTTTTTGTTTGTTTGTTTTTAAATCACCCTCCTTCCGCTGTGCTGTGCACCCCAAGATCCCACTTCTGACACCAGTGTGACAAAGTTCCTCCTCTATCTTGGTGGGTCCTGCACTTATTGGCGGATTTTCTTGCCTCAGAGATTCACCATGTGGGTTGGAGAACAGCCCAGAGACCTTCCCCTCTGGAAGAACCCACAGTCCAGGTCAATTGGGAGGTTTGGGGGGAACCCGGGCCTGCCCTCTACTCCAGGTTCCAGCCCAGGGCCCTGTGGACTGCAGCTGTCTAGAGTGCCTCCTGTAACAGCTGCATGACAGCTACAACTCCCTGGGCTACTTCCCCATGGCCTCCTCCAAACACCTTCCTTATTCTCACCACAGGACCTTCCTCTTGGTGTCTGATAACGCTTGTGCTCCTCAGTCCTCCAGCAGCACACCCTCTCACTCTCAGCTCCTTGCACCTCTTGCTCCCAGCTCCTCACACTCGCCCCACAAACTGAAGTGAGCTCCTTTTAAAACCCAGGTACCCTGATTAGCCTGCCTTAATTGATTCTAGCAGCTTCTTCTTAATTGGCTCCAGGTGTCCTAATTAGCCTGCCTGTCTTAACTGGTTCTAGCAGGTTCCTGATTACTCTAGTGCAGCCCCTGCTCTGGTCACTCAGGGAACAGAAAACTACTCATCCAGTGACCTCTACCAGACTCCTGTACCCCACAGGTCTGGGTCTGTCACTATATATATATAAATGTGTGTTTACAGTTTTTCCACACTCAAAATATCACCTGACATTAACTTGAATCAATGAAAATCATCTGATGCTGAGACGTTCACTACATCTAATAGGAGCCCTCACTCAGTTCTGATTTCCCACTTTTCCTCTTTGACATTACTTCAAGCCATTTTCAGCCCCTACTTTTACTTTCTAAATGATCTAGTGAAGGCACCAAAAATATCTCATACTTGTTCAGCACAGTGGATCTAACTTGCAAACTTAGTGTCATAGCCACTTGAACGTTGTTTTAACTAATGTATGTACTGTCGTGATGCTGCAATAACTCTATTTGCTATTATTTTTGTAGCTGCTGTAAAAGCCTTTAAGGATGCAAGACGGAAGCCACCTAAAACTCAATCTTCAGATGAGCATAAATCAGAAGAACAGCTTTCTCAAAAGCCTAAATTGAGGCAACATTCTAATAGCAATGTAGACAACCAGACACATATACTGGTTCTAAAACAGCAAGAAGCTAAAACAAAGGTGAATGTGAAAACAGCCACTAACATAGAAAATAAACAAATCTGTGAGAGAGAATGTGAGCAGAAATCTTCAGAAATTGAAAGAACAGATTCTCCGGGTGATTTGTCATTACAAACTTCAGAAAAACATGCCGTAGTTGAAGATCAAACAGAACCGACAATTGACTGGCCAAAAAGAAAAAAACTTACAAGTGCGAACAAGTTCAGGATAACAAACAAATCAAACAGTGATGTTAGTGATATGGAAGAATTCGATAACAAGGAGTATTTTGATGACAGCACAGAAGAGAGATTTTATAACCAGTCATCCGATTCTGAAGAAAGTGATAGCGATGATGATTTCTTCATCGGCAAAGTGAAGAAAAAGAAGAAGAAAGTGGCAGATAGTGATCTTTCTTCAGCAAAGGAAAAGAAAAATCTCAAAGAAGCATTACTAAACAAAACAAAGGACTCAAAGTTTATGACGATGCAGGATGTGATCACAGAAGAAAGTAAACCAAGTGCAAAAGCAATGAAGTTGGAATCAGTATTTTGCAATTCTCTGTCCAGATCTGATCAGAAATCCAAAAATATGAAGAGGTATTCTTTTCCATTTCAGTTATAGAAATTATAGAGTAATTATTATGACTTGTTATATTTCCATCAACTGAGCAGAATTTCAGCCAATCACTGCTCAGAGTATTTGGATTGGCATTTTGTATCCAGTCACATTATTATTCCTTGACCGTAATGCATTTTTCAAATTCTTCCCTGCTCAGGAAAGTTATTTGTGTCAGTATCAATAGAAAGTTCTAAAAAGATGCTCACAGCAATGTTAACTGCTCCTGACTTTCATAAAAGCTGAACTCAAAAGCTCAAGATGAGCCAGCAAAAATCAGTTATATACAAAAAATATAAATTATATATAGTTCTTGCATTGGTTTTCATGTCACAGTTTCACTTCGGTGTTAACCAATAGCAAAAGCTGTTTATTGCTACCATACCCTAGTGCCATGTAGATTATCCAGCAAGTATGGTGGATTTGACCATTTTTTCAAACAAATCTTTTATTTATTATTCCTTTCTTGAAAGATCTTTAATATTATTTTCTTGTTTTTTAGAAATGCTAACTATCAGACTTCCAAAAACAGAAGAACAGGTATGTGTCCATGGTACTGCTGCTCCATTTGAATTCCTTAAAATCCCAAAGTAAAACCTGTCAAGCTGTACTTACCCCTGTAGGGCTAATCACAGTGAGGTATTCTGTTTTGTTTCATATTTCAATTTAGGACTTGTCTGCATGAAAACAATTAGTTTGCGGCAAGCTGGGGTGGGAATCTACCCCCTTCCTAGCCTATCATAGACTGTGTGGACCCTCTTGACATGCATTAACAATATGTTAACGTGCTTTGGTTTAGTTCCGTTTCAGAGAGGACTAGATCAGAGAATGTTATCAAACCATAAATGTGCATCAGCAAGGTCTACATAGATAGTTAGTCTGCAGCAGGCTAGTGCAGGGTAGATTCCCACCCAATCTTGCCACAAATTAAATGTTCATGCAGACAAGCCCTTAGTGACATTTATTCAGCTATTTCTGTTTGAGTCATCGAGGGATTGTATTTGCCCTTTAACTTGTAGAAACTGTTTGATGTTATACGTTTCCATGCTTTGAAATAGTTATCAAAAGCAAGCATCCTACAGGTCTGTACTCTGTCACCTTTCCCCACGTTAAGTAGGACCTTACTCCATGAAACTACTCATGGAAAAAGGTACAACCTGAGTATGAGTAAAGGTGACGGAATTCAACCTTTAATCTCATCAAGTGGTTCATCCCAGCAAATTATTTTAGCCACTTGAATATTTTACCCAGATTATGGCTCATTCTGCACTTTTAAGGATTATAACTTTTTTGAAGAAAGAAAGAAAGAAAGAAAGAAAGAAAGAAAGAAAGAAAGAAAGAAATTATGTGCTGATCTCATATTGAAAGTGCTACTCTAAAATCGGATGTCCAGTGACTCATCTCTCATCGGTATTCTGTACAATAAAATCAGAGATTGTGATGACTCTTATCCATGGTAATTAAATTCCACACAAATTTTGTATTGAAACCCCAGAGCCTTCTGCCATCTTAATCATATCATCTTGACCATATCTGCTGTTCATGAACTGGCAGTTTGCTGATTTGTGAGAAGAGGGATAATCTTCCTTCCTCCTTAGCAATCTTCCTAGGTGTTTATACTTTTTTTTTTTTTTAGTCGTGTTCATCTGTGTATATTATGTGTGGCTCATTAGGAATGGATATTGGAGATTATATGATATGTCTCACTTATTATATATTGTCTTAGTTATATTGGCTTCCAGTAAATACCTACCCTTATTTTAAGGTATTTATAGTATGTATTACCTGGTTTTGTATATGTTCATGACATAGTTGCATTTAATGTTTTTTATTGTATTTTATGCACAGCTTTTCCAAAAAATGAACTGCGAGTAAAGAGAACACACCTTGCTAAAGCTGCAGGTATAAAGTATGAAAATAAAAAAGAGTATTTAGAGCAACCACTTCATCCTTCGTGGGAAGCAAGCAAGAAGCGTCGGGAACAAATATCTCAAATTACAGCATTCCAGGGGAAAAAGATTAAGTTTGATGATGATTAAACTTTTTTAATGTAAATTCATATTGTTAAAGAAGATTCTTATAGTTCCCCTCTAGTTTGGTATCTACTTTTGAGATGTAACAACTTGTGTTTTGACTGGACCTTTGTGACCCCGGTGTTATAGATTGAAAAGAGAATATTTATCTTCTTGATTGAGATGATACATGCAAAGTTTGGAAACTAAACCTTTTACAGTATTTGAGAACTAGTGCCTTTTTCAAATCATATTTACATGTTTTTATAAACTAAATAGTATTCTAATCTTGAGAAATCGGTGATGTAGTCTTTTAAGGTTTTTTGGCAAGGAAAAAGCTATTCCAGATTTGTTTATAATGAAGATTGAGCAAATGAAACAATTTGTGCTGTATTAGTTAACTAATGGGGATGTCACATAGTATATGATTAAGAGTTCAGTTCTTTAGTGCCACCACCTGTGAAACCCACAATGAAGTCAGGAAGGGGTTTATGGAGCTATTTTGTGCTCTGTAGTAGTTGAGAGTTTTCCTCTGTGGGGTTTTGCATTATGTAAGGTACACTCCAGAAAACTATTTAAGGACTTCAATATCAGAAGAGATGGGAAGAATAAGTGCTCCTAGCTAAATAAAAAACATAGTTAAAATAGTTCATTAAGACATATGTTTAAAATATCAAAATATTTACTCTTATCTTAGCTGGAAGAAGTTCAGAGCTCTGTTAGCTCTGAAGACATTTGCTAAATTCCATAAATGCATGAAGCAAGCCGAAATGCAGATTAGTGTGTATGGCAAACTCTAGATAGCAATAAAAATTTGCCATCTAAAATATGTTCATCTTTCTTGATTAGATCAACAATTTTGATAACTAAAGTACACGGTCGTGAGCATTCCTGTACTGAAAGGAAAATTCAGTGTGCCCCACTTAATTTAAATTGCAGGTAGTCAGAGAATTAGGATCTCATCCTACTGAGTTCCTAACTACCAGAATCAGTAAGAAGAGTATAAATTTAAAAAGTACCTTCTTATTAAATGCTATTGATTTGTTTGCCAAAGATCTTGGGTTTTTTTATATCCCTAACTGTTGGAAGGGCATTTGACTGTGTTGGATGGAGCTATCATTTTAGTGTTTTGGAGTTCCTGGGATCGGGGTGTGGGGAGATGGTTTTTTAACCATTTTTTTTTCTTTAAAGGTCTTTCATATTAGTTAGTTTTAAAAGATCTATGAACTTAATTGTAACTGTCCTTCCTCATTGTGGTTTAATTGGATGCTACTGTCCTTTATACAATTGGTCTGAATCAATTCCATAAAACATATACACAGTTAATAATATGGATAGTCTATGCTATGCTTTGCTATCCATACAGCAGGAAGGTTTTTATATCCAAAGTGAAGTTCTCCCTTCCTGAATTATGTTACAGCCTTGGAGGAATGTGGATTTCAATTAAGTTTGTGCCCCGAATGTTTTGATTTTTTTTCTTTTTATTCCTCATTATATGAAACAGTGGTGTATGTGTGGAGGTGGGGATTTTATACCAGATCGTAAGAGTTCAAGGCATCTTCAATAGCAATAGACTCTTGTAAAAGTAATCTTGTACTAGGTAAGCAGCCAGTGGCTACACATAGGAACTACATTCATTGTATTTTGAACTTGTATTTATCTTCAAGGAAAATCATGTTTTGAAGAAAAAGTCATCCTCTTGAAAGCAATATCTAGAATACTGTTTTACATATTCTAGACAAGAAACTTTTTTAAAGGCTTAGTACTAGTCCAAACAAATATTTGATGTGTAATTTTCCTGTTTTCAATAAAGGGCAGGAAACTTTTTCTCTTTTCGTTGGCTGTAATCCTGTTATAAAAAAATTCTTCACAGACAGCTAATCTTTACTGAGTAGGTGAAAGTTTCCAATTTTGAGAAGTGACTGATATCCATGGTCAAATAATTAAAAAAACACATTAACTGGACATTTCTGCTAAAGATATTGAGTGAAATAGTTAACAAAGTGGACATTTTAAATGTGTTCACCTTTATACTTCTACATTAACTCCTCAGACCTTTATACTTCTGCATTAACTCCTCAGATGTATGGGAGGCACTACACACCTCAGGGTACATCTATACTGCACATTCCTTTCAGCGGTGTGCAAAGTACTTACACTACACACACTTCTAACAGGTATAAATAACAGTTGGTTGTAAGTAAAGGTATGCCTGAACCATGTGGGTATGGGGCTCTCTATTCACTCAAGCAGTGCCTACCTGTCAACAATACTATTTTTTATAAATATACAGGTTTCAGAGTGGTAGCCGTGTTAGTCTGTATCAGCAAAATCGAGGAGTACTTGTGGCACTTTAGAGACTAACAAATTTATTTGGGCATAAGTTTTCGTGGGCTAAAACCCACTTCATCAGATGCATCAGATGAAGTGGGTTTTAGCCCACGAAAGCTTATGCCCGAATAAATTTGTTAGTCTCTAAGGTGCCATAAGTACTCCTCATTGTTTTATCAATATAAGTTCCTGCTGATGGAGCCACTGTACACCACAGGGAAAGACTCCTAAAGTAGGGAGCTGCCAGAATCTTTCCTCGTAGAGGGGAAAGGCTCTGGCAGCTCTCCGCTACTGGCCAGCAGCTCCCTGCTGTAGGAGCTGGCTAGAGCCATTCCCTGCCACAGTGGAAGGCTGCTGCAACAGGGAAAGGCGCTGGTGTGGGAAGGCAGTGGGGAAAGGCTCTGGGAGCTCTCTGCTGCCAAGCGTTTTCCTGCTGCCTCCCCCTTCCCAGAGGATTTCACTTTCATGCTACAAGCTGCAGCGTGGACCACCCTGCTTTTCACTGTGGCTTGTAGCTATACACCCTACACACCACCACAAGAGGTGCAGTGTAGACATAGCCTTAGTCTATTGATTCAGGCAGTGTACAGAACTGGGAAGACAACATAACGTTCGTTCATATTTAGAAGGTAAACCATACGGCTTAAAAATGTGTTTCTATGAAAATTGAAATTCCGAAGGAACTGCGGGATGGCTAGAGATATGCCATTACATCTCTCTGGCTTACATGGAGCCAGGCGTGTTAGAGGGTCTAAGCCCATTCATTTCCTTGTGGTATCTGTTCTTTGGAATGAATTCTTCAAACTGGTTGCTAGGCTCATGCTCTATTTCCTCTGGTGCTCTGGTTAGATGATTGCTAACAGTGTGTCCTTAGTACAGTGTGAATGTTGATCTAGCTGTAGGATAGATCATCCCACCATTCCTGTATTGTTAGGCATTAGTGTAACGTACTTTCATGTGTTGTTTCGATGTGGTAATTTAGCTTTGGTTTCTGCTTTCTATTTTGTTTCACATCAGAATTACCCAAGTCAAATGACAAAATACCATATGCTATATTATTGGTATGGTATGTGGTATTGGTATGTGTTTCCACAAAACATATCTTCTCCAAGTAACAGAACATCATTGTATCTAAATAGTGTCTCTTATTCAATTCTATTTTCCTTGATACTCTAAAAAGACAGATTGAGAATTACTATAGAAATAAATAATGTGGCGGCTCGGGCTTTCAAAACAGACAGAGCACAAAACAAGTTTTTAAATCCTAAATGAAATATCTTTCATCATGGCGTAAAGGTCACTTTGGATTTGACTGGCTTCCAGGGAGAGCAAATTCCAAATGGGGCCCTCATTTTGTTTATGCTTTTGCCTCTGAACGTGGAGTATTTAAGCTTGGGTTCTGGCAGCAAGCACTTCCCAACAGGATTTGTTACAAGAAAGATGTTGCAGGAGCCCCTTCTTAAAATTTTGGCCAAAATGAAGGGAAAGTTGGAATGTTTTCCCTGCTTCTTATTGAGTTCACACCCTTTCTTAATGCTGTGAAACCATCTTTGCACAGATGAACTAAGTCTGGGCTTAGGAAATACTTCTTGAAGAGCAATTTTCTTTTTATTAGTTTACAGTGAATGACAGGCATTTCCAAAATATTTGCAGAGGGGAAGATACCAGGAAACACTAAAGGTATGACTACACAGTATTTTGGAGTGAGCGCAAGCTAGCGCTCTAAAAACAGCTGTAGAGACAGTGCTTTGAGGTTGTGGCTTGGGCTGGAGCTCAGGCTCAGAGGCCTGAGACTTCCTCCAAAATGTTGTGTGGACATACTAGAAGACCTTTACTTCCTCCTCCTTCTCCTCCTAATTACATAAGTTAAATGTGGTATGGTATCACTATACACTGTACATTTTTTTCAGGCATTTGCTATGTAACATCACTTGCCAAACAAGTATTGACTGCTTCCTTTTTTGTGGCTAGAAGAAAGCATTTGTGGGTAAAATAAATTCCCAGTCCCTCACGCCGCCTCTTTTGTGGACACATGCACCCGAGACACAAAAGTTAGCACAGGCCCAAGCACTTCATGGGATCACCTTATTAAAACATTCACACATTTCAGTAATCCCAGTTGGCTTAATTGCCATGATGAGATATAGGGCTCTCTGACAGTTGGGTCCCAGAGTATTCAGAGTTTTAAAGATCTACACCCAAAAGTGTATTTAGAACCCAGAACTAAGATTTATAAACATGTTATGTATTTGTGCTAGATTCTTGTGTATTATAGGCAGAGTTGATACTGCTGCTGGTTGCCTGACACTTCCCATTATAAGACTTATAAGGTGCTTATAACTTTGCGTCAAAATGGGAACGATTAAAGTTTGGCATATATAGCCTCAGCCCAGCGCCACTGGAGACAATGAAGAGATTCCAGTTGACCTCGGTGACAAAGGGATCAGGCCCATGTTGAACTCAGGTGCAGCAGGATAGACAGTGTGAACACTTGAAACATTTTATTCAAGTCATTTTCACATAAACTTGCAACCATAATACAGGCAATGTAACACAAGAATATGAAAGTGCAATGAAGAATACAAAGCTAGTGTCTGAATATTATAAATAAAAGCTCTTCAAATAAAGATAGAGATTTTAAAATTAAGATTCTTGGAAAACAGTGAAGGAAACATTGAAAACTCCTTCAAGAAATTGCAAAAACAAGTGGCATTTCACTGAATTTGTAGCATTTAGTTGCTAAAACAACAACAAAAAATAACCTGCTATTAGCATACACCTCTTGGTTTTAATTCAAGTTATTACAGCACCTTTTTTAATCTGGGGAATGTGAAAAGACCATACATATTTGGCATAATGTGAGGCACAGGATAGACCACTTTCAATATCTTATGAATGAAAATAAACCTTTTGGTATGAACAGATACAACTAAAAAAACATATATAAAAGGACTATGAATGTAAATTTGGTGAATGCACCATTCAATACTACATAGTAAACTTTGGTGTGCAACATAAAAATATCATCTACATGATCTGTTGGTTCAACTGATGACCAATCTCTCATTCTTTTAATACTTTTGTCTAGAAATATGCACCTATTATCAAACATGTATTTCAAGATTTTACAAATATAGCAAAACCCTCTTGTGATGCGTCTGTTGCATGGGAATGTTCCTTATGTGCACCATTTCTCTAAAGACCTGAAATGTCGGAGGTAATTGCTTCATGCACACTCTAACATTTTCAACGGAAATTTGAAACTGCAAGAGAAGCATTTCTGTACTTCTGAAATTTTGCAAACTCTTGGACTGATCTTACACTCTTTGAGATCAAGGGCAAAGCTCCTTTTCAAAGACTGCAGGAACAGGCCCAAAGCCTATTAAAAATGATTACACAATAAAATTTGTTTTATAAAATAAACTCTTACATCAAAACAATGTATAAAGATTTCCTACAGAAAAGCAAGCATTCCCTTAAATATATTGCAGCATGAAAAAAGTAGGCTTCAGGTACCTGGGTCAAACCTGCAGTGACCAAGATATTGAGCATTATGGCCAGCACTCCTTCATTTATTAACATTACCTCATAAGCTATATAAATCCACTTTTCTCTACTCCTGCATTATAGCCCAGCAGGATTAATTAAGGACAGATTGTATTAATTTTTCCAACTTTAATGCTGACATTCCTAGCTTTTGTTGATTTAAGTAAGACCATTCATGTATTCTTGAACAGTGAGCAAATTTCATTTATTTTCCCATTGTTTAAAACGTTTTAAAACTTGTACAGTATTTAGCTAAAGAAAAGAAATCCCATTGTCTTATCAGATCAACATGTAAAATGTGTTCATTTACCAATGAAGGTGTCTATGGAGCCCTAACAATCTATCATGTCAATGAGTAATTAAAGATTCTTAAATCACTGGATCATTTGGCAGCCCAAGCATCAGCACTAAAGGCCAGAATGTCTCTTCCTACAGGAGAGCCAAAGATACTCAGTAAACTCCCTTTTTAAACTTCCACAATTTTTGAGGTAAGTAGAGGGTGTGGCTCTCCAACCCTGCAGATGCCCGCAAAGCTACAGGAAAATCCCACAGATCTCAGGGCATCTACAAAGTAAACACCCCCAGAACTACTCTTAGAACACCACACCTCAGAGTGCCTCCTGGCTGCACAGCTCCTGGCTAATGGCTGATCCTAAATGTGCTGTGCCCCAACAGTTTTCAGAGTCCAGCTCTACAGAACAAGGCTTGCGGGACTTGTGCTATGGTGTTAAAAATAGTAGTGTAGACATGCCAGCTTGGGCTCTGAGAATCACTCCCCTCACCATGTTTCAAACCCTGAGCTCCAGCCCAAACGGGAACAACCCTGCTATTTTTAGCTCTGTAGCACAAGCCGAGGTCTGGAGACCTGAACTCTGAGACTTGCTGCAGTCGGTACATGTTTGCAGTGTAGACGTATCCTCTGACTTCCATGCAACTGCACATGTACAAGT